ACCCAAGAAAAAGAGAGCTAGGGATGTAGCTCAGTGTAAGAGCCTGGGTTTAATCTCCCAACACATAAATGAATGAGTGGATGAATGAATGGGCCAGGGATATGGTTCTCAAGGCCCCAGTGTGTGCACGTACACACACGCGCATGTACACAAGTTTAAAGCATGTTTTTAAAAAATTTGGACAGTCCTGAGAACCAGTTTTAACATGTTGTTTTGGTTTTTGTGGCAAAAAGTCTTATTTTCAGGGTTAAAAAATAGTCCAGTCTGGTAAATGCCTAAACCTAAACTGGTCTAGTCTAAAAGTTCTCACTTCTCTCCTAAGTTTGTAAACCTTTTTTCCATTCATTTATTACCTCTTGTCATCTGCTCATCTCAGATAATTAAACTTATGTCCAAACTTTTCTGAAAAATGTGAAGTCTTCAATCACTGTGGCTTAGGATATTTGGTATGTTCAATTCTATTACAGAAGGCTTCTGGCTTATTAATGAATTTTAAAATAGCCTTTAGAAAAACAGATCTAAGAGAAAAGAAAATTAAGTTGTTCTTTGTAGAACAAGTATTTAAATATTTTTGATCTCTCAGAGTGATTGTAGCCACAGGGGTATTAACCTACAGAGCACCCTGGAGTGGCCGCTGTGCATACTGTCATAAGTCATTGACCCTGATGACAGTTAAGATGAAAGAGGAAAAGTGTTCTTTCCGTGTTAGTTTGTGTAGTTTTATTATGCTTTGTTTGGTCCTTATTACTTGGCATTTGAGGAACACAGGGCAGCAGAAGTTACTGCCAGCGTGTACATTTTATGTTAAGGCCTACCTGAAAGACATTTAGGCTCAAAGACATTTCTCTCAGGCTGGCACTTCTTCATGAGTTGTCACATTTGATATTCCCCACATGTTCTGAGGAGGTGTTCCCACCCACACTTCCTGCAGGACTCAGCATGAGGGAGGATGACAGCCTCAAAGAAGCCCCCCAACTCGGTCTGAGGCCAGCATGGCAGCCTAGTTTGCAGGGCACCTCTTAACACCCAGCAAAAGGGAAATAACCTCCGTATTCACCAGTAGTGATGTCTTTTAGAAGATAGACTCCTAAATATCCCATTTTCTCAGCATTATAAAATGATAACTAATACCTAGTGACTATTACACGTCAGGATTAATCTAAGCATTTTTGTTAACCCACCTAACTGTACGATAGTTCTATGAGGTAGGTTCCATCCTTACCTTCCTGTACACGAGAAAACTGGCACAGAGAGGCTACAGAATTCACTGGTGTTTGAAACCCACAAAGCAGATTCTCATTTTAGAACCTGCATTTACTGAGAACTTATCCAATCTCCAGATCTCCGGAGAGGCAGGTAGAAGAAGCTGTTGTGACCCCTGAAAGTTTCTAAAAGTAAAAGCTTTGAAGCTATTAGATTTAAAGTGCCAAATTGGCTGTTACCCTAAGAAGAGCGTATTTTCACAAACCAAAATGGAGAGGTGAAATTTTATGAAGGGTTTTATGAGCTGACTCATACGCAAAGTTTAACTAATGTGTACATTTAATGAATTTCCTTGTTGAAGCATAAACTGAAATTAGAAGTGAGTGTGATAAATGATTTTTCTCTTATAAAAAAATAGTGATGGCTAGTGTTTCTTGTCTCTTTTATCCCATAATCTCATTCTTGCAGCATTTTCTGCTCCCATGTCTTTTTCTTTTTTTAACCTGAGAACGAGAATAAGAGGAACTCTAAAGTGAGAGAAGTATTAACTTTTAAATAGCATACAGACATGCTACATCTGTATTTAATGTCTGTGTGTGGCTCTTGCTGTGCCTCAGACTGGGATGAGGGGGAAGATTGTTAGAAGAAGACACTGAGCAACACCATCTTGCTGCATTACTTAGCTCCCTGACCATGGAAACTGTGTGTCCCTCAGGATGCAGGCCTGAAGAGGACAGGGTAAATCTGTTTCTCCAGATGACCTTTTGGAGTGGGAATAACACTGCTGATACTTGGCTGCACTGAATTGTTTTTTCCAAAACTCTTAGGACTCCTCGTGTCCGCATCCCCACACCCATTCACTTGAGAGAGAGCCTGTGCCAGTGATGGTGAACCTTTTAAAGCTTTCAACAATAACAAACAACCTGCTGCAGGGCATGCACCATAGGTTTGCTACCACTGGGCCACGCCCACCATATCCTTCCCTCTACTTACTGAGGGGAAGTACCTGATGAATTACACAACACAGCAATTAGTTGCCATCTATTTTAGCTATTCTCATACACAATTTGAGAACAAATTGTGTATTTGTTCTCCACCCTGAATTTTCATACATACTTTCTGTGGAGTAGGAGGTCAGACAAAACAGCAGTAGATTTTGTCAGAACAAGTAGACTATGACATCATTGCCAGAGTAGACAGCAGGTTAAATTAAGGACTGTCAGCAACGTGCTTATTCTAGAAAAGGCTAGAGGAAGAAAGAACTGCTCCTTTCTCTGTATTCTCAGTTCCTGTTGTTGGGAGCCCAGGCTGCCAGCTCCCACCTTACTCTCCTTGAGGGCCTTCAGCTACAAGGTGGCCTCCCAAGAGTGCCTCCCTCACCTGCACTGAAAGCGAGGGAGTAAATGACAAGCTGGCCTGCTTGGTGGTGAGATCTTCAAAACCTTCACTTGAGGCATTCAGCTTTCCTAGACAAAAAGATAGCATTTCTTATATTTTTAAGCAACTCTATCTTGGGGCATGAATAGTGCTCTAATGGAAAATTTTTAAATTTATCATTACTAGCATCCGTTTCCATGATGCTTTTTATAAATTGGGATGCAATTTTATAAGATTAATAGAACACGATGATACAAGAACAAAACAAGTTAAAGAAGCAAAATAGTCTAGAAACAGCAAGTTTTGAGCTATACCTATATTTGAAAGTTGTATGTCTGGTATTTGCTCAATTTAAATTACTTTGCAAAATTAAAGTACTGAATGTGCTTCAGTAAATTTCTTTGTGACTATGAATGCTACTGCCTACATATGTAATTGAATGTAGGCATAAATGTATGTTGGGCCTGTTTCAAAAGAAAACATTCTGAGTGTGGTGTGGCAGGAAAGCAATACTGTTCCTGGTAGTGTTCTCCAAACTGAAAAACGGAGCTTCGAGGCAGTAAGTGAAAGATGTAACACTTTCACTTCCTGAATCATGACCTCCCCTGGTGATATAATTAAGGGCAGTTATTCCACTTAGAGTTTGTAGCCCTGGTGAGACTGAGTTAATAAATAGCTGTTGGCCTCTAGCATTAGCAAGGAAATGTTCATTAAAGTGGTAATGTGTCAAGAGTACTAAACAGGTTGCCATGGTATTCGTGGGTTTCAGTCCGGACTCTGACTTTCCCTGAAATTAAAAACGCTTTACCTTCAGTAAAAAAATACTTCCTTTCATATTAAAACAGGCAGAATGTGAAATAGGTGACAGAACTAGGGCTCAGGAACTCAGCTGTCAAGGCTGTGAACACTTGGCCTGTGTATTTTAAAGTGAGTATTGACTCTGACAGGTTTGGGTTTTGTTTTTTTTTTTAAGGTTGTTTAATTTATTGGCATGTATCTATCTAGCCATCCGTCCAGGACTCTTGAGACACACAGCAGAGCTGCTGTTGTCCTTCAAATCCTGCCCACACACAGAATCAAGTAGCCTGTGGAGTTAGGTCTCATTCATCTTTAGATGCAGTACCTAACACACAGCAGATGTTCAAGGTCTGTTGCAAATTGAATGCATAAATTCTGTTTCCCCTTGGGCCAAATCAGCCCCAGAGTTAAACATTTTGAATTGTAACTCTGTCACTGTCCAACTTATAGTAGTATCTGAGACAGCAGCTTATCCTCAGCTGGTGCCAGAAGCACTAGAAATGAGGCTCAGTTGGCCTATGAAGGAACAACATAGTGTGGTTGGGTGTAACTCAGGTACTGGTTCTCAGACCATCCTTAGGCCAGCAGGATTTAGATCCTGAATCTACTAAAGATCCTGGATGACTTATAGGAAGTTAGGTTGTTTCCAACATCTTACAGTTAACTAGTGACAATAAAAAATACTAACAGTGGCATGTGTGCAATAGTCTTTCCTGTCCTCCAAGCCACTGAAGATGTATCTGCTGGGAACAAGTCCAAGGCCCTCTCATTGAAACAAGCTTGGAGAGTACCTGATCTCCACTCACAGTAGTCCTTCATGCAACTTCTTGCTTCTGCAGAGGCCAGGCTGTGGAGCAGGGCTGTTGAGTTTGCTGTGACCTAGAATGGTCTCTACTTTCAAGTAAAAGCACAAATTCTGGGTAATAGCAGAGAAAAGGGTACAAGTATGGACAGGCAAATCATAGGAATGGTAGGGGTTGAGGGAGAGTTTGTTTGAAGAAACTTGTAATTATTAGAGAACTTACTTAAAATATTACTAAAATAATGGGAGAGAATTCAGCTTTGATCCTAGGAGAAAAAAATTAAAAGAATTTCCTAAACCTCAGTTATTTGGAAAATTGGGGTAAAGAAGGCATCCTATTTCTCTTGTGCTTAGCTGGCATTGACTTCATTGCCTAATGTATAGTAGAAGGTAAGTTACCACTGCTATGTGTGTGTGTGTGCGTGTGTGTATAAAATCTGTATTTGATGATTGAGTTTTAGTAGTAAATAAAAAATTGAACAATTGATGTTTCTATAGTCTAGACCAGTGATGGCAAACCTACGGCATGTACCCCACAGTGAACTGTTTGTATTTTTGAAAGCTCTAAAAGGTTCGCTATCACTAGACCATAGCAAAAGGAACCTCATTCCAGTTTTCATATGTACTCAAATTTGTTTTTCTTTTAAATAAACATGCATTAGGTATTAATTTAACCATAACATAGCAACTGGTTGATTCAGACTGTATGGAAACCATTTATCTAGTTCGCCTAATCTGCTCCATTAGTTTGCATCGTAATTGATATGTTCTTATCATTAAGAGGAGCTCAGGTAGCTAATGGATTCTACTCTCTTCTTAGGTTTATTTCCATTTATAGAGGACCTAGCCACACTTACAAGGTCCAGAGACTGACGGAATTCACGTGCTACTCCTTCCGAATCCAGGCAGCCAGCGAGGCTGGGGAAGGGGCCTTCTCTGAAACCTACACCTTCAGCACAACCAAAAGTGTCCCCCCCACCATCAAAGGTTTGTAGGCTGGACTTCTTGTCTGCTCTCCTGTGAGAATAAGGAAATGTGGAGATGTAAAGTAGGGTGCTCAACTCTAACCTTAAATACTCTTGATAATTCTCATATCAGCATAAAAGAATCAAGTATATATGAATGCTCATTGCATTTCGCATGTAGTAGGGCATTGTCATCCCCACAAGTGATAGAGAAAGAAAAAGAACAGATCCAGGTGGCAGAGTTAGGATCAAAATGAGGGTCAATGCTTGGTCTTACAGTATTAGAACAGTTTGCTAGGGAAGGTTTGAGGCCCCTTCTTTTCCAAAGCCATTCAGAGGGGCAGAGGTGGGCATTCATCTTTGGATGATTTGAGTACCTAGTGATTAGGGCTGACTTGGGCAGCATCTCTGGGTCCAGCATTCTCACAGAGATGCCTTTGGAAAACTTCAGCAGCAACCTTAAGTACTTATCTTGAGGTGTATGAATGACTGCTTTCCTACTCTGCCCCTAATGAGATCAGGTACTGCAGACTACTACTTCTCTTAGGAGAGTGAACAAAAGCCACTCTCCCTGGACCCTTCATCCACCAGGTCTGCTCAGCTCTCATCCCTCTATTTCCAGCCACAGAGTTGTGTCTGACTGGCCAGCTGACCTGCAAGGCAAGGCAGACAGCAACAGGTGCTGGAGCATGCTCATGGAGCCCTAAGGCTGTGCCCCTCTCATCCATCATGGGTTTTATGGAGGTCCCCGCTCTTTAGAGGCAAGCAGCTCTTGTGACTTTATCCAGCTGCTGTTCAGAATGACCCTGAGGCTGATGAAAGGGGAGTGAGTGTAAAGTAAGGTGTGAAAAAGGTCCTTTATGTGTTTGGCCCCATAATTCCTTCCACATGGAGGAGCTGAGCAGCTACCACAGGACATTAGTCAGTTAGCTACCACAGGACATTAGCAGCTACCACAGGACATTAGCAGGGTGGGGGCCTCCAGTACAAGGATTAGGGTCTGGCTTGGCTTCTTCCAGAGCTAGTTTTGGTAAATGCCTTTGCCCTGCTTTTCTGCCCCTCAGATTCTTTGGCAGCTTCTTCTCTTCCTCTTCCATGTGACCCAGAAATTAGCACAGGTATGCATAGTGTGCCTGCTCCAGCAATGGGTCATCATGGCAATAAATGCCCTGCCCTTTTGGTGCAGCTTCATCTTTTAGCTCTAACAAAGACAGTTCCTGAACATGTGTGGTTGCTTGGTTTGTTAGTGCCAAGAAAAGGGTCCCACCTTTACCAGTTTTACCAACCTCAAGGATCTTTCTCATATTGAGAGGCACTAACTCTGCCTCTCAACATGATGTTTCTGGGTGAGAGATTCATTTATGAAAACCAGAACAGCAAATTGATAGCACTTGCATTTCACGGTACTTTTTACTTTAAAAGGGCATCTTTCCTACACTACCATATGATCAAGTTGTTTTTCCTGTCTTACATTCAGGAAATTATTGTCCTAAGCAAATGACTGTTTAGTCTGAGAAGATTTCTTATTTAGTTTTCTATAAATTGCTTGAAGTTTTAGACAAGTACTTCCATCATAAGCATTTTTTAAAACAGAAAACCTTTTTTTGCTGAAATGATATTGTATTGTCAAAATTGCAAGTAGAAACAACTACCTCCAAAGAATTAATTGCATGTAATTAGAAATTAAAATATAGTTGGGTTCATAGAGAAGTTACACATACTAGTTGAAAAAATAGAAAAATATCAGATGCTGAATTAAACTGTATAGATAACATACACTATGAAAAAACATTTTTAAATCCATAATATTTTAAGGGCTTGAGAGTGCGCTTAATTTTTAAGGTCTTTCAATGCTGCTATGTTGGGGATTTTATTCAAATGCCGCTTGCGCCTCAGACCTTCCTTAGATCTCACCCAGATGTGTCCTGTCCCTCCTATATGTTCTCTTTCTTTTTCTCCTGTACCTGGTGTTCTCTTTTCTCTTACATAGATCTTAACTTGCTTGAAAACAGTGTTTTATTTTCCTTTATTTCTGCATCCCCAAAGCACCTGTCACAGGACTTACACCATGGAAAGTGCTCAACAGCCAAAGAAAAAATAATGAAAATGCAGTCAAGCTAAGCAGTTATGAATGAGACTTCACAAGGGACTTGCCAAGGTGGCTTCCTGGTCCTGGAATAACTTCTCTGTGCCCGGAGGACAATCAGATGGGTTGCTAGGGGTGGGCAAGTCAACCTGTCGGGGCATATACATGCAGGCATAGTCTCACTCTCCCTGGATCCCTCGTGGCAGCACTAGAATATTTACTGCTAATGTGGTACTTTGAATTTTGAACTTAGATTTGTGGATTTGCATTTCAGCACCTCGAGTAACACAGTTAGAAGGGAATTCATGTGAAATTTTATGGGAGACAGTACCACCAATGAAAGGCGACCCTGTTAACTACATTCTACAGGTATTGGTTGGAAGAGAATCCGAGTACAAACAGGTAAGAACCAGTGTATATGGCAAGTGTGTGGCTTAGCAGAGTCAGTCTGGATCCTTGGCCTCTGCCCAAGCTGTGAATGATTCAGTAAGCCACATCTTGCTTAAAAATCAGTGGCTGAAATGACCAAATGTACCCATGACACAACTTATCAGGGTATACAATCCCTAATTTACACTACATTTTGTATGTAATGAGCTTAAGTGTTTAGTTCTCAAGCATAGCTTGTCTTGCAAAGTGTTTCATGTATTTGTATTTGATATTGAAAGTGATGTTTGCAGGTATCAAAGTCTGAATATAATTGACAACCAGAATGCCAGTGGTTTTGCTATAGATGGGAAGTGGCCTAACCAAACTACTGTACCAAAGAATAATGTCCTATGTCTGCCTTTTTCATTGAACTTATAATGGAAGAATAGGACATGAACTTTGGGCCCTTGAGTCCTGTGACTTGAGCTCTAGGTCACCCCTTGTCACCCTTCAGTGTGCATAGCAGTCACCTGGGAACTCTTATAGTGCAGATTCTGATTGAGATGGTTTGGAGTGGGGACTCAGACTCCTGGATAGACACTGATGTTTAATGGTCCAAGGACCATAATTTGAGTAGTAAATCTAAATAAGTCACACGAACAACCTATGTAAGAGAATATAATTTGCATATTTTAGCAAGTTTTAAAATTTCGTTTAACTATTTTTCATATTTCTTGTTGATTTATAATTCTCCAAAAGTCACTCATGGCTGTGAAGAATTCAGATACTTTGTAGGTTTTCATAAAGGTCTCTGGAGTTTAACAACTGTTTTGTGAATTTAGAATATAATACTGTTTATTTCATTAGGAAATAAGAATAAGAGGCCCATTCTTCACTTTTAGTTGTTTTATGTCTATTGAACTGATAAAGATGAACATAAATGTCTTCTGAAATGTTAACAAAATTTGTGACAGCTTCTTTTTTTATAGACTGAGGCTCCAGACACACAAAACAAGTAGAAAATAATTTCATTCAGAGTCTTTGTTAAATTGCCCATTTAGGTTTCTTGTATAAAAAGCTAATAAAAGAATTGTAAATGAAGAATACTTGCAAATAAAATGCATTTTGAAAGAGAAAATTTTGGAAATTTTGCCATACTTTGTTAATATGAAATGTCAGATAAAGTACTAAATTATCTTAAGCACACTTTGCAGAAGCTTTATCTGACATTTGCCAGTAGTGATTCATATCACTGAATGATGTCACCAAAGTTTCTACATTCCTGTTAAATATAAAGATACCATGCTTATCTTTCACTTTGCGAGCCCATTCTATAGACCAGTGGTGGCAAACCTTTTAGAGATGAGGGCCCACCCTACAACCCAGAACCTATTTATCACAAAGTGCCAGCACTGCAGTAAACCTGAACACTGAGGTTTTAGTTTAGAAAAACAACTCATATATTAACATCTTTTGTCTTAAAAGAAAAACGCGTGTCATAGATTCAACACCACTGCTATCGTAGTATATCCCATATCAAAGTAAACAGTTTCACATGTGTGAGTTCTTTCATCTTAAAAGAAAACTATGACTAAATTCAGGGTCTCAGCTCATATACAAATAATTCTCCCCACTACATTTTGTCATCTTTAATACCAGTAGCACTATCTCCTCCCATGGCAATATAAAAATGATTAAAATATAAGGTGTTAGGAAATTTCACAGCTTACCATTTAACAGTTAACAGTAATTTATTTCCCAATAGTAATTTATTGCATGATGCACATCATTTTATTTTTAAAACCTTACGTTCCACATTCAATGCTTTTCTACGAGTTTCTAGAAAAAAAAAAATCCAATTCTCAAAGCAGACTATTACACAGTGAAATATTCACAAAGGGCTACTACACAGTAAAAAAAGTAGTATTATTGGCTCGATGTCTATGCATGTCATATTTTGCCAAAGTAAAGGCATCCCTATTCAGTAATTTAGATTTTATTAGCAGATTAGCTATTTTGAATCCATTGTTTAATGTATATTTAGACCCATGTGTATATGAATACCAATATAATAATACACAGTTGTGTATATGCCGCAGAGTATTTTTCTTATAAGCAGTGATAAACAAGTGTTTCTTGGTGAATGCACCTGAAAACAGAGAACTTTGGGGTGGGCTCAGTAGAGGGCACTTAGCTTTCCTCACATGTCTGTGAGCTTCCCACACTTAACCAAGAAGTGAGTGAGGATTGTAGTACTGCATGACAAGTTCCAACAGACAGGGACACTTTGTGCTGATAGGGGGAGCTCCATATGTTTGTTGTTGTTTATTTTTGCCTCTTCCTATTCAAGTAGATACTAATTTGAGTACTTCTGTGAGTTGTTCTGGACATGAGACAGGGAATAAAGCTGATTTATATTATGTGTGCAGTGGCTAAACTAATTATGGATGAGGATAATTGGCAGTGGGCTTTGAATTCGTAGAGAGACAAAGCACGTGAAAATGAGGTAATCTCTTCTGTATGTCCACCACAGCAGAGCCGTGGGCTCTTGTAGTGCACAGCGTACACCTCAATTACAGCCTAACTAGACAGGATCCACTCATGTATGGGCTTGTGTTCCTGTCTTTTATTTTCCCAGGACTGACATGCAGACACTCAGCAAATGTTTCTTGCATACACAAAAGAGGCAGTTTCAAGGTAACGTTTCATTTATACCTGCAGTAGTGATATGAATAAACTTCAACACGGAATAAATAGAGCCACATTTATAACTCAGATAAAAAAAATTACTCATGATTGGGGAGTGTGCTTCTCCTGAAGCTTATTTTTGCAGGCAATGTTTTGCTTGAAGCCTTGACTTTAGTTTGCCTTGGTTCTGATTAGCTTTAATTTTTTTTAGTTAACATGGTGTAGGACAAGCAGCAGGTTTTCATAATTAAATCTACTAACTTAAACTGTGAAGTCCTTACTTAAAATTTCAGCTTGCATCAGAAGGCACATATATATCCATTTGACCTTTTCTACCATTTGATAAAAGTTCTAAGCACGAGTTTTGTTTGGAAGGTTAAACTTCTTTTCAGACAGTATAAATTGCAGAGCATTCTTGCAAAGGATGAAACTGTATGCATGTGATTGTTTTTTTGCATAGACAGTTTACTACATAAATAAATTTAAAAAAAATGATTCAGATTCATTTCCCCATTCATACAGTGATAATTTTTACAGCAGATAGTGGATATAAGCATTGAAGATGAGAAAAGGGTCCACAAACTGCAAGAAATTGTTTCCTATTGGCCCTCATTGCTCAGATGTGTTGCATTAAGAAGAAAACCTTTGACACATCTGAAAGTGCCACTTTTACTTCAGTGGTCTCTCTGTATAAATATGTTTTATCTTGCATAATTTTTAGAATATGAGATATATATTGATTTTTCATGGCATCACCAAAGGTACTATGAGGAAAGATCTTCTCTTAGCCAAACTATTTTAGTCTTAGTCTACAACACATCTGGGAACTCTCACGCATTTCAATAACTTTCAACTAGTAGACAGTGAGGATATTACTGTCTTACAGCATAATTTTTTAAATTTTTGCATGAATAAAGAAAGGGTTTTGAATTAATTCAAAATAAAAAATAATAGATCAAAAATGGAGGTCTACAAAAGCCATCGTTTATTTTACTGTTTGTTAATTGTTTTAGGTGTGTAGGTTCTATCCAGTGAAGGCAATAGCCCCTTATACCAGAGCAACTCCCCTTTATGCATCTACTTAGAATTTCATATAGAATGAATTTATATTCAATTGAATGAATTCCAGATGTAGAGCCTCTGCTTTACTGAGAAATCTTTGGGTGCTTTTTATTTTGAGGTGTACCTGGCATTGTCACTACTCTGAGAGTTTGTAGGCCCTTACATTGAAAAATACACACACCCTGAGAAGCAGTTTAGTAGTTCAGTAACAGCAGCCTGACCTGTCCTCTCTGGCTCAAGAATACAATTAGTTGCCTGTGCAACATTTACCCCTACCCAGAGGAGGCCTGCGGGTAGCAAATTTCCTCTTGGGTTGCTAGAGGACAAGTGAACCTCCCTGGTCATGTGATTAGAGAGTAATTAATTCCCCGCCTCTCTTATTGTAAAAATAGGGATAATAATCCTCTCATGTTACTGTGAGCATCACATCCATTCAGTTGTGGAGAAGGGTATAAATGATAACAAGGTGCAATGACATCTGCCTTTCCAGTTCTCGGGGGAGAGGTGATCTTAGTAGAGATACAAGCTTCTAGGAACCCACCCACCACCCTTCTCAGTGATCCTCCCCCAGAAGCTGTTATTTAAAGGATTTCTGCCTCTTAGCATGTTATTCTGTATTAAGGGTCATGGATCCTTCGTTTCAGTTATCTGAGTATTGCTTTACATCCTCCCAGTTGGAATAAACATGTCAAAATTATTTTTAAATATATTGTTCATCAAATCAAGAACAGAAATAGTCTTTGTAAAAATAGTGTTATATTTATACTTATTTACAATATTATGATTGGTGACTTCAATAAAGAAAATCTTAAATGGAACTCTGCCTTTTAAAATTGGGTTGAGGCAGGAGAAAAAACCCATAATGGTGCCTCTGTCATAATGAATGAAAACAGAAAGCTACAAGCCATGGCCAGCAGCACTGATGGACAGAGCTGCACAGTCCTGTGGAAAGTCACCCCCCTGGCAACACAGTTCTGAGCAGGCGTGATGACTGGCTGATGTCATGGCAGCATCAGCTCCTAAGTTTCATGAGGCCATAACTGCCCATAACACGCTGTGGACACCAGACCAGTGTCATTGGGGCTCTCTTTGATTGATTCCTGCAAATCCTATATGGTATAGACTCTAAGTTCCCTGGCACCAAGTGATTGTACTGAAGTATTACAGGTTTCCTTCCAGGGGGTCAGAGGAAGTACAATCCAGTAACAGTGTAGTGATAAATTGTATAATATTATATTATGCTGCCATTTCTTTGAGACATACAGTGTGCCAGACACTGTCCA